TGCAATTCTGTCACTCTGTGTGTGCGTGTGTGTGTGTGTGTGTGTGAAAGATTTTATATATATATATAAAATGAATAATTTTGGAGTGCACTGATAAAGAGTTTTTGGGTCAATACCAATGACCAATTATTGACTAGCCATTTCAGCTTATATCGATCCGATTGCTGATATGCAGCTTGGCAGCTTGGTGAGCAGTGTCTGGCTGGTAAGTCTGTTGGGGTGAAGAGGTGTTGGGAAAGGAAGGGACATGTTGGGGGGCAGATCAAGGCCCCCACAATGAGGGAAGGACTGGGGCAGGGACAGGGGCTGCTCAGCTAGGGCAGGGCACAAGACAGAGCTGGCAGTTCATCTGGGTGTTGCGCGGGGATAGGGAGTGGGGGGCAACTCCCTCCAGTGCACACAGCCCTGGAGGAAGCATGGGTGGCATGTGCCACCCCCCCAGATCTGTGCGTGGGGCAAGGGCAGGCTGCAGCTGTGTGCTTGGAACCAGGGCTGCTCCAGTCTCTTCCTGGCGGCTGTACTTGGGCTGGGTGGGGCAGGACGGGCAGCACTGGGAGGGGGGCTACGGTGAATTTTGGGGTGGTTGTAGCCCTCCCATAGTCCCCTCTCCCAGTGCCACTGCCACCCACCCTGGGCTGGCCCAAGCACAGCTGCCAGGAAGAGGCTAGAGCAGCCCTGGCCTCCAGCGTGCAGCAGTAGCTTGCCCTCGCCCCACACAAAGTTCAGGGGGGGCATGTGCCACCCAGGCATCCTCTGGGTGGCATGCGCAGTGGTGGGAGCAGCCCCCCCTTCCCTCCCCAGCACCCCCCGAATGAGCCACTGACTCTGACCTGCACCCTGCCCCTTCCCCAGCCCCACTCCCTCCTTTCCTCACTGCGGGGGCTTCGATCTGCCTCTTCCTCACAACAGACTTACCAGCTGGACACTGCTCTCCAAACTGCCAAGCTGCATTCCTGACCTTATGCATCCTGCAGCTGGATGCATACATGGGACATTTATCGGTGACATTTTCGGCCACATCAGCCAAAAAAAGCTGATTGTTGATAATGTCAATTTTCCTTTTATCGGTGCTGATACAATATGGACCAATGTATCGGTGCACCTTTTAGAATAATTATTTTTATATATAATATATATGAATATATGCACACACATTTTTGCAGTATATCAAAATCATTACCATATCACTGGAAAGAAAAATAAAACACATGCTTAACATGGTGGTGGTTGTTGTGTGAGAAGCAGAACTTTGAGTTTACAAAGCTAGGTCCCAGTACTGTGGTCCTCACAAAAGTTCTGACTTAAATGTAGGTTTGTCTAAAGAATGTTTAAGCTGGGGCTTTATGGGTAGTATAGGTTGAAAAACAAAATGTGAACACAGGTTGGTTTTATGGTATTTGCTTGCATACAACATGCCCCTTTGTTTCCAAAAACTGGCTGCTGGAAATTACAGCACATGTTGTTTGTAAGAAATATGGTAAGAGTAATTTCTTCCACTTACTGAGTAAAAGTGTAAGAAAGATCTTCATGGACTCACACAAAGCAGAACAGTAAACATGCTTGGCTCCCCACCTGCTGCTACTCATTTACTTATTACATTGAAAGATATTTTTTCTTCATTTTGTCTTTCAAAAACAAGGTGTGTCTTTTATTCCAGGGAGTGTTGCATGCGAGAGAATATAGTTTTTCCATTTAATGGATATTCTTAAGGCAAAAAACTCCACAGTTTAAATAATTACAGTTTAAACTATCTACATAATAGTCCAGTGAAAATTCCTTGCAAGAATATGGACATTTCTTCAGTGCAAAAGTTATGAAGGAAGTAACAGCCAGAAAAGAAACCTTAGTAAGTCCCTTTCTAAGGACTTGTAGTAGCAGTAGTCTCAACAGAGCTTCTAAGCTGAGCAAGAGCAATGGTATTTGCTTTTAATGATATAAAATACTTATCTCCAGATAGCTTCCTTACTCTTTCACTCCAGGAAGCAGATGTAAACACTTTTTATCCTACTACACAGGAGAAATTCAAGAGAGGCATATCCCATAGAATATCACCTGGTAGCCCTCTTCCTGAGATGTCTATCTGCCTGTTTACAGTAGAACATGTGACTGCTTCTAATTGCAGTCCATTTGGTATGACTGTTTCTAATTCCCTACTCCTTCCTTGAGGTCCCTTGCCTGTCACATCCTCTTGCTGTGGCAGTGCCATGTTTTTAAAGTGAGCATTGATCCACAACACATGCTAGAACTGCTTTTTAATTGCCAACATTTTATATCATTCAACCAAAAAAACAGATAAATGATCAAAAGATAAGATCAGTCCTGATTTCTTTCATCTTCCATGTCTACCTTGCTTCAAACTTGAAAAATTGTACCTTATTATAACATCAGTTGTAATGAAATTATGGAAGGCTAGCTGCAATCTTAACCGGGGAAATTCTTGTGTTTTCCCTCTGTAGTTAGGGAGCTGTATTGCAGAAAAGCATGCTTTATGGGTTGTAAAGAGGCAGTGAGAGGTATAATGCCCAAAGCCACACTATTATATTGTAATAAGAAGTGATATAGACTGGGTTGATCAATCTGTGGCCCATAGACCAGGTCTAGCCCACAGGGTCTCCAAGGGTCTGATAATTTGGCAACAGGGGAGCAGGCAGCCTTAATTACTGTTCCCCTGCTACTAAATTTCCAGATCCATGGGGGAGCCCTGTGGGTTGAATAGCATGTACCCATGTGATAGATTGGGTGTGAGAGGCTGAGGCAATGTGGGTCTCAGTTTGGATGTTGATCCCAGGATGCAGCCCATGGACCCACCCCAGCACTGCTCATTTAGCCTGCCGGACCAAAAAATTGAGCATCACTGGTGTAGACCAGTGGTTATACACTGGATTGCATCTCAGTAGACTTGTGCCACTAACTTTCACAATGAATATAGATGAGTCAATTCACCTCAGTTTCCACTCCTGCCCTTTATATATTCTAGATTGAATGCTCTTTGAGGTGGGGACTATTATTATACAGGGTCTTCATAAAGTTCTTGTGCACAACCCAAGTTATTCAAGTTTAAAAGTGCACAAGGACTTTATGAAGAAGTATGCACACAGTGTGTCTAGCCCAGTGGACTTTGATCTTTATTGGACTCTAGGTTATGATACAATACAAGAAGTAAATACTATTTGATTCGTTTGCTACTGGATGTTCATGTTTATAAATATACATGAGAGGTTTAAAGTACACTATTTTGTGACATGCTGTTTAACTTTTTCCCCCAAATAGGTTCCTGTGGCTAGAGCCAGCATTCTCTGGCTCATAGGAGAATATTGTGAACGAGTCCCAAAAATTGCACCTGATGTTTTGAGAAAGATGGCTAAAAGTTTCACTAATGAAGATGATCTTGTAAAGCTGCAAATTTTAAATTTGGGAGCCAAACTTTATTTAACCAACTCAAAACAGGTAAGAGTAAGACTATATAAATAAACTCTGTAATTACAAAGGATCACATATTTTGTTTGGACCAATGCTATTTTCCTTCATAAACATCTAAAAGAAGCTTGTAGAAGCCTGATGCAGTGTAAATGATTGTATCCCAAAATACTAAGGCGCAGACCACAGGGAAGTCTACCCACTTGTGTTACCGTAGCTTTACGTTTGTTTGAAATTGAGCAAATCTATTTGTAAACAACTTGGCTGATACTTTTTTTATTTTGTGTGGGTTAACACTATACTAATATAAAATATAAAAGCCAAGATGTTAATGCTGATAAGTTTCTGTGATCACAGTTTACTCTTCTTCTAAATGTCCTTAATTGCTGTCTTATCCAGCAATGGCTTGTGGCATTCTGTGGTATCTCAGTCTTACCCAAATTGCCGTCCAACATCTGCAATAGCATTTCTCTGTCTTCTGCTGTATAAGAAATGACCATATTCTTTTGTGTTTTGAAGGGTCCTTTGATTACCTTCTCGTTGCCAGGATATTTAATCTTGCTAAAGATAATTTTAGTCACTGATGTGTTACCAACCAAAAATTCTTCTTAATAACCATGATTCTTTTTTTGTTGTTTACAGTGTGTCAATTTATACAGTCCCACTTTGCTTACTAACTAGTTTTCATGTCAAAGGAGAATTAAAAAGTTTTAAATTTTAAGCCAAAATGAAAAAAAGATACCTTTATTTCTATGCTGTGCCCATATTAAGTCACCCTGCTTTAACTCGCAAGGTCCCTTCCAGCCCTAATGTCTGTGAAATCTGTAAAATTTCACCAGGTGTTTTGATTGGTTTATTCTTTCACCACTAAGGAATTTTCTTACAGTGGACAAATTGAGGTTGACTAGAGGAAAAAGTACATTAAAGTTCCAGCCCGCAGCAGCAGCCTGCTCTTGTCCCGCGAACAGATCCAGGGGCACACGCTCCCTGGAAAGAGTCCGGCACGGCCCCCCAGACCGCAACTGTCCCAGGGTGCACGTAGCAGCAAGAGCCACACCCTACCGCCCTGCACCCACTAACAGTTCACTCCGCTTTGCTCCCTGCTGCAGCCCCGGGAGCAACTGACACCGCCTGCCTGCAGCCACCGGGCTGCATCACCCCCCTTCCTCGCCTTCCCTAGCCCCAGCCTCACTTGCTCCCTCCCTCACCATCATGGGAATATATCCCTATTTGTTACCTTATAAACTGGGTTCCCTTTATGCAAATTCGAGTTACACACAATTTTCTGGGAACACATGTACTACATAAAGTGAGGGAAACCTGTATTAGCTCTTGAAAGAATTGTAGTCATGTAGATTATACTAGGGGTGCACTGATAAAGATTTTTTGGGCCAATACCAATGAGCGATTATTAATCAGCCATATCAGGTGATACTGATTTGATTGCTGATATGCAGCCTGGCAGTTTGGAGAGCAGCATCTGGGCAGTAAGTCTGTGGGTGGGAAAGGGGATGGGGGCGCAGATTGAGGCCCCCCACATTGAGGGAGGGAGTGGGGCTGGGGTAGGGGCAGGTGCTGCCCAGCTGGGGAGGGGCAGAGTACAGGATGGAGTTGTAGGTGGCTTGTTCAGGGGGTGAAGGAGTGGCTCCCACTGCTGTGCACACCCCTGGGGGAGATATGAGGGGGCATGTGCACCCTAGATTTGTGCATGGGATGAGAGCAGGATGCCTGCTGAGTGCTCAGGGTCATAGCTTCATAGATTCATAGATGTTAGGGTCGGAAGGGGCCTCAATAGATCATCGTGTCCGACCCCTGCATAAGCAGGAAA